ACTTGTGACTCAGTTATTACATAGATATTGTTATAAAATGAAACAATGTATAGTATTGTAAAGTTCTGATGATCTGTTGAGGAGATATTTAAAATACTATTTAATGAACAATCCCAGCCTACATAGGCAGTGCTGCCACCTGTGTGATATATATATTTATTTACTTCCAAAAATAGTTTCTATTAAATGTTTTACCTCTAATGAAAATTTAGAAATTATAACATAGTAAAAGTACTTACAATGTGTTTTTGTTTTTTGTAGGTGCCTAAGAGTCAACCCCAAAGGTCTCGATGAAGAAAGTAAAGATTACTTATCACTCTATTTGTTACTGGTCTCGTGTAATAAAAGTGAAGTCAGGGCAAAGTTCAAGTTCTCTATTCTTAATTCAAAACGAGAAGAAACAAAAGCAATGGGTAAGTATCTAAATTTTTATTGTTTTTCTTATCTAAAAGTGTCATTAGCTAATTGGAAAGGCTTTCTAATAAAATTTTGAACAATAAATGCTATCATGTCACAAGCTGTACATGTTTATAGATTACTATCTATACCAGTTTTGGTGACTTTGTGTATTAGTAATAATCTTGTTAAAAATAATCGAACAAGAACACATGCAAGCTTTCATTTAGATGTTGTCAGTAATGACAGTCTTTCCACAAAATAATTATGTTATTTGCTCTAATGTTTGCTTGTTGCTTTTTTATTAAAATTTTCCTGATTATTCACTGCATAAAGATTGGCTGTACAATAATTTATGTTTGTTTATTATTTTATCCTCTTAAAGTTATCTTTGCAATCCATTTTCTAGAGAGCCAACGTGCGTATAGGTTTATTCAGGGTAAAGACTGGGGCTTCAAAAAATTTATACGTCGGGATTTTTTATTAGATGAAGCTAATGGTTTGTTGCCAGATGACAAACTCACATTATATTGTGAGGTAAGTTGTGAATATATGCTCTACTCTTATAAGTTATTATTATTATCTCAGATACTGGAGGGTATAGAGTATTCAAATAATACTGGAAATTGAAGAATTTCTTTTATGTTCAATTTTAATCTCTGCATTTTTAAATATGTTTTTATAACATTCCCTATTTAAATCTAGAAAGCTGAACTTAAAAAAAGTAGAGAACCAATCACAGTGATCTTTGAATTTAACCAGCTTTCTGTAACACACTTTTCATGGTGTATTGCATAATTGTACAGTATACAAAATGGATATATTTGTGATTTGTGAAAAAAGAGCATCATCCCAAACATGATATCTTGTGCATTAAATTACATATTTTTGGTAAAGTGGGGACATCATGGAATATGGAAACTGTTCTCAAACTAAACATCTTATTGTAATTTTGCTGATTCTCTTAATTATTTTTGAATTGTAATATTTCAATTATTATAATCCATAATTATACAGCATGTACCCGTTATACAAATCTGTACATAAATAAGAAAGATGTATAATTACAGGACTAACAGTAAGAGTCATTTTTAAAGTTTCACATACGTACAACTAATACTCATATGGGCCAAAACAATCACATTTCCTATCAATAGTAACAGTTAACCACTCACCATGTACTTAACTTTGTTGCATGCATAGCGAAGACTGACCACATTGTCTGCTCAGGCAATATTTTCTTCAAAAAATTCTGCTTTGCATGGGTTTGTTGCTGAACTAGTATTATTTCACTAAAAATATGACATTATATTTCATCTCATCTATTTAAAAGAAATTGTTAAATCTTTCTTTGTCTGGTTTATTCTCACAGTTCGGTGAATATGGAATACAAGTGTATACTTTAGGCTTTAAGTAACTCTGTTTTTGGTTCAACTCTTGTATCTGCTCCTAGTATGTATATCAAACAAGTTCGAAACATATAATTAACAAATTCCTATGTATTGTAATTGGTTATATCTTTCTTGTAAATGTATCAAATCATTATCATAATATTATAAACATTTTTGCCACCATTGGTGATTAGTTTTTATGAATGAAATACTTTTGCTTTGTTTCATCCTTACTTGTATTTAATATCTTTGCGTATTTCAGTTTTAAGGAAATTTCTTAATAATTAAATTTTCAATGCCAATACATTCGTAACTCTGTGCTATTTTCATGTTTCACAGAACATGCAAAGAACTAAAACCTAAACCAACTCAATTTCTCTAGCACAAACTGAAATTACAAGAATAAATAAATAATGTTTCTGTTGTTTGAAGCGAAAACCTATTTTGAAATTGTAATAGTTTGTGTGTAGATAAAAGTGAAATATGTTGAATATTTTTGCATAATTCAATTTCTGAATATATGTTTTTATTTTAAAAAAGACAAAAGTTTTCACAGTTTTTGAATACTCTGTAATAACAGGTGAGTGTGGTGGCCGACTCTGTAAACATCTCAGGACAAAACAATGCAACACAATTTAAGGTGCCAGAGTGTCGCTTATCAGATGACCTAGGATTATTATTTGAAAGTCAGAAATTTAGTGATGTTATCCTTAGTGTAAATGGAAGAGAGTTTTATGGACACAAAGCTATATTAGCTGGTAAGTTTTGTTGTTTTTTTATAAATTCATTTTAGTAACAAGCTTGAGACAAAAATCAACATTCAAATGAATTGTACTTCTAATTGCATATTTATGTAATTACTTCTGATGACATTTCTAAAAATATAAAACACAATATACTAAAATATTTTGTCATTTTTAGTTAATATGAATATTAAGAATTAACAACCATAATTGTAGAAAACTTAAAAATGCCCACCAATAGCTCAGCTGTAATTTTGAGCGCTTACAATACTGATAAGGTTTTGATACCACAGTGGGTAGAGCACAGATAGCCGAACGTGTATCTTTGTACTTAACAACAAACTTAAAAATAAAAAATAGTAAGGTTTTAGAGGTGATAGTTAATAGACATTTTCAGTAACTTTCTTACTTTTGTACAATAACTTTGTCAGAAGTGTTCAGATTGGTCACAATTCAAAATAACTAAACAACTCAAGTTTAACAGAAAAATACAGGCTTTAAAATCTTGAAGAAGCACAGACAAATTGCTTTAAAGATGCATGTTTGTTACACTATGAATATATTTTTATTATGATCTCAAGCGGTATTTTTTTTTTCATAGTAAATGCAGTTTTAAATTTCACTGATACAAAATCAAACAAATTGAAGGTAATAATTTAAAAAATAAGATACAGTATCTTTTAACCTTCTCTAAGGAAGAGCACTCTTAATGAATTAATTCTCTAATGATTTTGGTCTATACTGTATTTTATTTCCTAACTTGTATTACTTCATTCCAGATCAGTGGTTCTCAAACTTTGTCCTTAAGTTAAGGAAAAACATGCCTCACCATAATTTACAATTTGAGAGTTTATAACCATACTGTGTAAATCTGACATGTCACAATTTCTGTGGCATGCCAATTGGCAAGATAATTAAAAGCTATTTGTGAGATGTTTCTATTCCTTTTTTTATTTTTCATGTGGGTTATTTTTCCAACTTTTTTTTTGTATCCAAACATTTCTTTAATAAAAATGCCATGTTGCAAGTGCCACACTCCCACACCTCCCTAGGGTGGGGCACCCCATAGTTTCAGAGCTTCTCTTCTATATCAATTAGACTTAAAGAAAAAAATTAAACAAATTGAATGTTTTGAAAACAAAAAAAAAAATATAAATGTTACTTGTATATACTTCATATGTTATAAATCAAATGTTTCGGAAAGAGCTGGAAAAAAAATGTTTGCATATCACAGTGTTTTGAAAGCAAAAAATATGTTTGCAACTTTTTGCCTTCATAGAAGTATATTTACTCTTTTTAAGGTTAGCAGTGAAATTATTTTGTAATTTGAAATACTTCCAAAAAGCTAATAAGCTTTATTTGGAATGTTGATTATGTTTATTGATTTAAACAGCAATCCATGTGCAAAGTTGCTAACATGTTCATTCTTATAGAATGTTGTTAATCATATGAACCTTTCAAATATGCTAATGAACATCTGTGTACTAACTGATGTAAAGACACTAGAGTTAGTTTGACACCACAGCCAATGAAAGCACACAGTTTCCACACAGAGGTTTATCTGGCCTTAGAACTCAAAATTTTATCCAACCCCTTACAAAACATCTCAATGTATTGTACATTATAGGCAATAGAAATAGGAAAGTGATATTATAGCACTGAAAAGGTTTTTTTTATCACGTAATTACGGTAGTTTGAATTGTACTTAGTTAATAAGCGGAAGATAGAACTCCATGCATCTATTATTAACAATAATGTCTCCCTCAGCACGATCTCTGGTCTTTGCTGCTATGTTTGAACATGAAATGGAAGAAAAAAAACAGGTGAGAAGCTTTATTTTATAGTATATTTATACTGTTCACTTTTCATATTTGTTACTTGGAGCATTTCTGGTGAAAAAAAAATCAGTTTTTTCTTCGTGTTTTACTTTCATTTCAAAATCACCTGAATTTTTGTATTTACATATTTTTACTTTTTTAAGTTTCATTACAAGTGTGTCACATCATATTTAGGAGAACTTAAGTGTTTAATAATAATTTAATAAAATAATAATCTTATTGTGATCAATTTTAATCTATAAGTTCCCCTATTGTAACAATTTGCATTTTGTTCAAGACCTTCTGCAAGTGGAGTAATAGTTTGTTTGTTTGTTTTTAAAAGAAAATCACATAAAAAAAATTCTACTTTTTGGAACCTTGTATACAGATTTACATTTTATTTTTATGGGCTGAACTGAGTTAACTGATAGTGATGTATTGTTCGAAACACTTGAAAGTTAGTCAATATATGCTTGGTTGTTTGATTTTGATCACCGTACAATACCAAAATATATTTGATTATTGTTCATTTCATTTTTTTAACTGTTCGGGAATGATGGTGTATCAACGTTCAAGTGACATAAAACACTTTATTAGTCATTGATACTTTACTCAAACCTTTAAAACATTAAAATGTTAATCTGCTATAAAATATATATATCTTTACATTAAACATATTAAAATTTCTATTTTAATTTTCTCAAATAAACCTTTTCAAAATATGCTTTCAATTATTACTTGTTCTTTTTAAAAAAAAATTTCTTTTTCAATTAGAATTAAGTTACCCATTTTCACACTTATGTTTTATGTAAGAAATATTTCTTTTAGTGTCATGGTGAACAGCCTTTCAATGTACATAAAAAATTATAATTCAATACCCTATTTGAGAGTATATTGTCTTTATGAGATTACCTGGAACAAAGGTTCTGAAAGTTTCCTCAATTTTAACCCACCTGAATAATCAGGCAACTTTCTGATACCCATGCTCGGTTGGAAGATACTGTTCTAATAAACTTCTAGAAAGTCTAATAATGGTCTTATACTTTTTTGTTTTATTTTGTTTGACAAACCCAACTATGTTCTATTATATTGCAATAATGTATGTGATATTGTGGGCACATCATAATAGACAAGTTGGCGCTTTTTAAAGAATTCTAAATTCAGTTCTTTGCATTTTATTTACTTGTTTATTAAAACACCAGTAAAAATTACTCTAATCTTCAATTTGTTATGACAACTGTATATTTCAGTACAAGAACAAAAAGCCATAATGTAGTTATCAAACAGTGGTTCAACATAGAATTAATTGTGGACAGGTTGAACCCATAGATACTACAAACAGTGGTTCAACGTAGAATTAATTGTGGACAGGTTGAACCCATAGATATTACAAACAGTGGTTCAATGTAGAATTAATTGTGGACAGGTTGAACCCATAGATACTACAAACAGTGGTTTAATGTAGAATTAATTGTGGACAGGTTGAACTCATAGATACTACAACAGTGGTTCAATGTAGAATTAATTGTGGACAGGGTGAACCCATAGATACTACAAAGGATAAAATATTTATGCACTAAAAAAAATTTGTTCTATTTTGTGTGTATTAAATATCACATTTACTGTTCAAAGGATTATAAATATATCAATAATATATTTTTCTCAGGTCTGATACTCACTGTTTCATTTCTTCCTTTTAACTTTTTTCATGTAGTTACCTAAGTAGAAAAGTGCCAAACAACAAGTTATTATCTGTGGATAATAAATCATTATCTATAGCACTACATCCAACTATTCAGTATAACAAAATTTATCCAGTGATTTAATGCAAATGCTTTTGATATAAAATATTGTAATCGATTAGAATTCCAGTACATGAGAAGCATTATAAACAAAACTTTTCTCTTGAAAGCTGTTTAAAAAAGATATTTCTGAAACTCCAGTCAGTTAGAGAATTCAGTAGTAGGTATACAGGGTGTGTCAAAAGCCCTGAGTAAAGGTCAAACCAAGGTAATTCAAATTCATAAATTAGCATAATTTTAAAATCCACCCTGTATTAAAACAAAATACTTTTGATTTTAAAACGCATAAGAAAAACAATGTTTCTGGGGTAATATCATCTGGACACATTTACCTCAGAATGATAGTTTTATAGATAGCATTTGATTCACCTTGATCTGACTTTAATATCGTGACATAATGTGAGGTAACAAATGGCCCCTAATAAGCCAAAACACCCTATGTCAGCAGATTTTAGATATTCCACACCTACTTCACAAATAGGGAGAAATCAAAACTTTTGACTTGCCTAGTGTATGCTTTATCTGTAGGAAAACAAAATTATCTCATAAAATATAGTTTTATGAACAAGAAATGATTTAATATAGAACATTATCACTGAAATGATGTTAAGTTAGCATGAATATTTTGAATATATTTTCAGATGCTATAAAAGAAATTTTTGTAACAAAAAAAATTGTTTACTAAATTTCTTAAAGTGAAATAGATGTACAACTCAACACAGATGTAAAATACATTATGCTTTATGTTTAATTTTCTACTGATAAAAAAATTAAGACTTATAAACCATCATCAGAATGTTGATTGATGTCATGCCCGAACATTATTTTATTTCCTTGAGAAATTCCATAAGTTTTTTACAGTTGATTTACTTATCAAATGTTTAATAAGAATGAAATTTATCGTAAAAAAGAAACTGAAAATTTTAAAATTTAATAGAACTTAGTTGTCCATCGCATACAACAGATACATATTATATCTGTCAAAGGCAGATATAATACTGTAGCATAAACTCAAGGCTTATTACTTCTAGTGAAAAACAATAATATGTGTTGAGCATATCGGGTATATAGCCCAAGTTTTTCTCTGTGTGTGTATGTGTAAACTTGAATATTTATTGTTTATATATTTTTTTCAGTTTTAACATATTTAGATAAGCATAGATTGAGTTAAAATTCCTGACTTTTTTTACCTCTGTATGAGTGTTCAAGTTATCTCAAGTAGGAAACTAATCAAATTTCAACAAATGTTGTTTTTTATGTAACCTTCAAATACAATTTCTCAAATAGTTATTACATTAAACCTTTTATGTATAATTTATACATCTAAGAGTATAACTTCTTGCTAAACAATAAACGGGCAAATAATTACAAAAATGTAAAACTGATGTTTATAAGGAGCAAGCATTTTAGAGTAAGACTGGCAAGTTCAGTGACCTAAAGTCATTATTAAAATAAATATCCAAATAGTATTTCGTTGAAATACGTAGAAAAAATCTGATTTTTTGAAACCAATTTTAGGTCAATGGGGTCAACAAACAAAACGACAAATGCTAACATTTTGTCTGGAAAGGGTATTGTTGTGTACAAGAACATTTTTGCACACAAATCAGATGATTATAAAAAGTCATTTCAGCATCTTTGTTCACTGTAGCTATAAAATAATATATGTTTGAATGTTTCGAATTTCTGAAGAAGAAAAACAGAACCTATAAATACAAAACAGTAAAAAAAAATTCCAGAATTTTTTATCATTTTTTTAACTCTACAGTTTTGAATGTTAAAACTTGTTTTTAACACAAAAATATCATACAATATTTCATATTAAAATATCTAAGCAATACAAATTGAGGAGGAGTTAAAATATGGGGATCAAAATCTAAGACACCAAGGGGAGCAAGAGGCAGAACAAAATAGGGCTCAAGTATAAGAGGTGAATTTAGGATATTTAAGAAGTGTTTTCATGTATACGGTTTCATCCTTTTTTTGCATATTCTATAATGCATGAAATGATTTCATTTTGTTCAACTTGACCCCATTGACCTTTACTTGGTGTCAAAGCATTCCATTGTTTTCCACGTAATTCAGTGAGATACTACTCAATTAGTAACACTGATGTTAACTTTTGATCAACCCATCTTTTTCTGGAGAGTTGGTATATCTAATAGAATTGAAAGGCTTAAGGCTTTTTTTTTTTAAGAAAATCAAATATTAAGTAACAGATAGATTAATTTTTTTGTGTGTGAGAGTAAGAAATTTGATTGGTCGGCTTTTCTTCTCCAGAATCGAGTACACATAACAGATATGGATCATGAAGTACTTCGAGAAATGCTGAGGTTTATTTACACAGGAAAGTCTCCGAGTTTGGAAAAAATGGCTGATGATCTATTAGCTGCAGCTGATAAGGTAAATAAAAGTTTTTGAATATTTTATTTTCAAAGATATAGGTGCTACTATAAACTTTCAAAGTATTTCATTAATATTTATAATACACGACAAAAATGCTGGGTTTTTTTTTAAACTTTACATTTTCAATGTTTACGTTACTTTGATAAAGTTTCCTTGCATTTTTAATCTAGTGATTGGTTCAGTTGCATCTGGAAAATATCTTTGGCAGTGCTTACATGATTGTTTTGATCTACTTTAGGGAATGAGTTGTAAAAATAAATATTATTCAGGTGAAATTCAACAGAACTAATGTAAACTCAAGTATAAAATTCCATTCCTAGTTGGTTTATTTTTCAGATAAATATTGTTGATTATATTAAGTGTAACATCAGCCACTACTTCAATATTGTATACGAAGGCCATGCTTATAGAATTAAAAGTTTCATTATGCTGTTGCTTTATGTATCGTAGGATAGTTAAAAATAAAAGTGATATTTTTTTCTTCACAGTATGCTATAGAGCGGCTTAAAGTAATGTGTGAGGAGGCCTTATCGACCAATCTATCTGTGGAGACTGCAGCTGATGTCCTCATACTTGCAGACATGCACAGTGCTGACCAGCTAAAGGCACATTCTATTGATTTCATAAACATGTAGGTCATTTTACCTCTGATAAAACACTTCAGTTTTATCCATCATCAGAATTTTGGCAGTTTTAGAAATTAAAACGGTTACAATTCACTGAAAAATTTACGCTGTTAGGATAGATAACGAAACTGAAGTAACTTTGGGATTAAGATAAAAAGAAGATCTATTCCTAATTTTTATGTACATAATTGATTTATCTGATGAGACAGAGTGAATTATGGACTACAACAGCCTTTGAAGCACTGAATAATCTAAGTAATTATTATTACTTGAAAGTAGAAACTGTTTTCATTTTAAAGAAAGGTATAAATAGGTGTGGGGATAAAAACTGTAGCTGGTTGAAGATGAAACTTTTTTTCATAAAACATTGGTTTCTCTTTGTAAAATATTTTGAATTTTCGTCCCATCATTATTTTATAAGTTGTTATTAATACAGTGTTTTTACAAGGTAACATTTAATGGATTTATAAAACAAAAATCGTAAACTCTGTATTAGAATAAGAAAAAAATTAAGCCTTTATCGTTATTATGAACTGAATAACAATTTTCAAGTGTGGAATTTACATTTTCTGCTTCTTAACTTGAGCTAAAACCCTTTCTGCAAAGAGTTACTAATATAAATCTTGTGTAAAATATGGCTATATCAAATATTATCTATTTCTTGTAATACTTAAAAGCATCTTTGAACTGTGTTTAAGTGAACTTGTTGTAATTTTTACTCTCATAGCCATGCAACAGACGTCATGGAAACTGCCGGATTCAAGAGTATGGTTCACAGACAACCACATCTAATAGCAGAGGCCTTTCGTGCTCTTGCCACTCAACAAGTCCCACCTATAGGACCTCCAAGAAAAAGAATAAAACAGTCATAAGATGCCGTATACCTCTTGAATTTTTGTTCATTAGAACACCATGTGTTGTCATCAATTGCACAGTATGACTTAAATAAATTATTTGCAAAATTACACTGAAAGTCACCATCTCAAACATTATCATCATGTTTTCATTTGAAAACAACAGTCACTGGACATGGTCCATTTACTGAAGAGCTTTATGGATGTAACTTTTGTACCCATTGTATGTTAGAAGCATGCTTTATTTCAGATCTTCAAACTGTATGATCACTCCTGAAATACAAAAAAAACTGTATTTTAGTACTTGTTCACATAACAAAAAAAAATACTTTACATTGATCTATCTCTTGATCAATGTGTGCAATATGTGATTCAGTGGGTAACAACTTCCTGTCTGGCTTTAAGTGTATTAAAGCTTGAGATTCTAGACACTGAGTAATTAATCGGCTAAAAGAGGACAAGATGTTTCATTGCAAGTATAGTCCGTTATGACAGCCTTTTATTTAGGCAATTCATTGTATTTTGATTTGTGTTTTTGTGATATTTTTGAATGCATAGTTTTCATTTTGTCAGCTGCTTTCCAATAGTAGCTACTGGTAGAAGCTTGGAATATAAAATAAGGTAAAGGAACTATAGCAAGAAGTTTCCTATTTGTTTATCTTGTTATTAATTTTAAGTTACAGGCACAGAAAAGAAATACGTACAATTTTTGTGTTTTATGTCACTGTTTTTGATATCCAACAATGCCTTTCAAGGTGAAGAATTTGTTAATGTTTTGCGAATCTTTTGTGTGATTATCTAATTTGGTCCTATAAGTTTAAATTGAACCTTGTTGTAAAAGAAAATTAATATTAAACTTCAAAATCCAGGAAATGATAAATGTTCCTAGAAATTGTGTATGTGTATGGCTTATCTGTTTAAACAAATCAATGTTGAGGATCCAAAATTCAAAGTCAGCCAATCTTCCTTGAACAACTAAACTAGACAAAATATTATTTAAAAATTTTTTTTTTGTTCTACAGACATTAAACTTTATAAATAAAGAATTATTACATACTAATATAAAACACATAAAGGAACAAAATTACTTCTTTGAGTCTAATATGAATTAAGAATGATAACTTTCTGAAATTATATTGACAGTAAGACTTCATCAAACTGAAAAAGTGGATAAACTAAACCTATGTGTTTTAATGGATGTTTTCTGTATGAATTCAGTGTATTTGAACTTTTTTAGTCATTTACAATATACATACATAAATTATAAGTGTAAAAACAATCAATTTGTTAAACGGAACATTGATATCCTTTGTGTTTTTTTTATTATTAATATGATTTCATTTGTACAATGCCAAAAGTAGGTTCTGTAGAATAAGAAATGAAAAATCAGAACCCTATAATAATGAAAGAACAGAATGATGCAATTGTTTAAAATAACCTCTAATTTTGAATTGAGAAATGGCTTGTCCTATTATCAAAGTAGCAATACCTGTCAGATATCTGAAAACATCCCATCATCAGTAGGGATTGTTCATACTATTTATTTATTTCCAATATATAGTCTTTGTAGAGATACTGAAAACTGGTTTATAATTTACCTACCTCTGATGAGGGCTCTCTCGCAGCTCATGAAGATTAGATTTATTTTCTAAATGTTTAAATACCTACAGAACAAATGTTGATTGTATTAGATAAATACTATTTCGTAATACTGCTTTATATTTAAAATTATGAATTTTTTTTTTTCAATAGAATGTTTGGTTTTTTCTAAAATCTTATTTTTACAAGTGATAAAACTAATTACATTTTCAAATATTGTAAGAGCTTAAGTGGACTTTTCTATAGCATGTTCTATCTCTCAAAGTATAAGAAATGGCACTTCAGATGCTTTTGTGTGGAAGTTATTTTTCCAGCGTGGGAGAAATAGTTTTTGTAAACTTAAAGGAAATATAAGTGTCATTGTTAACCTAAAATTTTAATGTTTTCTTCTTACAACTAGACATTGATATGTGAATATCAAAGTTTTAAAAGGATTTTGTCTCACCATCAGATTCCCACCTATTTTCTAGATCTTCAGAAATTTCTTGTTGTTTATATTAAACATGGTACAAAAATCATCAGTTGTTAGTTATTACATGTGATTATCATGGGTGCAGTGTTTTTAATGTAATATGGGTAATAGTTCAAACTTGTAAATAAGAGTGAAAGTTATGTGATATCATAATAAAATAATTTTTATTTGCTAGTTTTGGACACTGTATATTGGGTACATTATTAGTACTGAAAATTTCATTTTGTTTTTGCTGTGCTTTTGTTTTGCATATGTTTTTATTGTGATGCTGTACTATAAATTTCATCTTTCAAGTTTGTGTAAATAAAAAAAAAACCAAGGATTTTCATTGGGCCAAGAAAGAGAAATATTGTGTGCCTAGTCTCTGAGAGAAAACTAATCTTATGAAAATGATCAGAGTAGCCCACTAGGGAACACAAATATATGAGGTTAAGGTTAAAAGTAGTGTGATCAGATTTTGTTTATGTTCAAATTACTTAAAATAAAATCTTCATTTCTGGAAGTAGAAAAGGTTGTCGTCTCACGTGCATTATTCTTAACGTTCACAGTTTCTATTAAAAAGTATTCAATTTGCTTCCCTAAGAACTTACAGTTTGCAATTTACCTATAACCTGCCTTATTTTTCTATAGTTAACTATTTTGCTTTCCTTCTTTGTGTTTTTATTAACACAAGACTAACACCACTGCAAGTATTTGATGTTTCTTTGCAGTCATTTTACTAATTCCAGTATAAAGCGACTTTAGGTAATTCATTTGACTTTTCTCTGTTGGAATGGTGAAATGTAAGACATGAACAGTTCTTGCATATTAGTTGAAAAGGATTTTTCAAAAAAATGCTTAGATGAACAAACTATACTGCAGTGGTAAGCATACATGTTTTAGTTTCTAAGTATCGGTAAATACCTGTATTTCATAATCAGTATGAAATCGAACAAGGTAAAATAACAGGTATATCTCAACAATTTAGTTTGCCCTGCTAATTTTATTTGTACAGGTTTATGTGTTAACATGCTTCACACACACTGAAGATTAGCTATCATTTTGAAATTAATGTTTCAATGTCTATAATTCCAAAACAGATACCCTTTAATTGCATGGTTAATAGGCACGCAATCTACCAATTCAGAAAATACTGATGCCATGAGGAATAGATCAGACTTATGCCCCAAGAAAAGAGGTTTAAATGTTTGGGACTTGCTTACTATTATTGTTGTTTTGAGGAAAATATGATTGAGGAATTTTTCAGGATCTAATCATTGTTTGAAAAACAACATGGTTGAAGAATTTTTCAGGATCCAATCATTGTTTTGGAGAGAACATGGCTGATGAATTTTTAGGATTCCTCTAGAGATGATAGTATGATGAGCTATCATCAAGCATGAACCAGATGAACCTAGCTGATTTTTCATGTCAAGCTGTAAATAGCTGAAGCTATCATCTAGCGTGAACCAGGTTGACATCATGGTACTGCTGGTTGATTTCTCCTCTCAGTCTGTAAATAGATGGAGCTACCATAAAGTATGGAACAGGTTGACATCAAGGTACTACTTACTGATATTTCCTATCAATCTGTAAATAGTTGGAGCCACCACCAAGCATGAACTAGGTTGACATCATGGTACTGCTGACTGATTTTTCACAGAAATATGTAAAGTGTCCGAGTTATCATCAAGCGTGAACCAGGTTGACATCACGGTACTGCTGGATGATTTTTCATATCGATCTGTATAGCGTTCAAGCTACAATCAAACATGAAACAGGTTGACATAATTTTTTCTATCAATCTGTAAAGTCTCCATATGAGAGGTAATGGTTCTGATCAGAAAAAGAGCGAAAGAAATTAACCAAAAGAAGAAATAATGACAAAAATACCGATACTTAAAAGAAGTCGCGCATGAGCCTGATGATTCGATTATCTCCGCAGGTGGGTATGCTAATAAGAAGCAACAGGGAAACTGCCGCTTGCCCAAACTTAGACTATAAGGATTTAACATCGTAGTAATTCAGGCTATATATGAATGTAGTTGTCAAACTTAAATAAATCATAACTGTCATTCACTTACTGACTTAGTCTAATCTACTGGCTGTATCCGAAGCTGGATAACTTTGAAACAAAGAAATTCATATTAATTGTAGTTTCTTTTTCTTAGGAAAAACATATATAGATAAATAGCGTTCATCAATTGATAATATCGGAGAAAAATTTAATAGAAGTACGTCTCGAATGTAACGCTGTATATATTCTGAGGCCTTCTTTTTACTTGATATTCAAACCCCAAACTTATTTCTACTTTTCACAGCACCACATTTATTTGTAGAACACTCGTTATTATCAAGAATTATCAAACTCTCTTAATGTTTATTTCTTCCTTCTGTTTTAAATTATTTCTTTCACACCATATTTACTGAAAGTTTCATATGTAAACAATATTCTAAAATTACCGTTATTGTGATGTTGTGACCCAGTGTTGCACAACCGGTGAGCCGTGAAAAAAAAAAAGACTTAAGATTGAATGACAATATTTTAAAAAATGTTGCAGAATAGCAAAAGTATAATGCAACCTACATAATAACTTGCAAAATGCTAACTATCTGCCGTGAAATTTACGCTGAATTTATTGCTGAAATTACGGTATATTTTCTTATTCAAAACGGTACGGCAGATTTATTGTGAAGGTACCAGGATTAGAAGCGTGTTCTGCAGTGCGCACCGCAGTACGCATCACGTGCCATCCATTGTCACGCGCATGAACCCAGCACACCAACCACGAAACAACATTGCCTGCCATACTTTTTTTATAATTTGCTGCTGTGGGCCGCGGGAAATGTCTTAAAGTTTGGATGGGCTGTGTTATTAAAAAGGTTGAGAAATGCTGCTCTAACTAATACACACTGTAAGAGCGTGAATACAACCCCAGAACAGAATCTGAAAACGTTTGTACCATTCATAATCGAGAGAATAATTAAGACTAATACAGCGATAGTAGAAGCAAATCTCAAAGTTGATACCCATTGGTCTGATTGTTACTATGGTATATCTATATACTACTAAAACTTTGAGATTATTTGCTTGTCTGTAATTAAATACAGCAAAAAACGGCGCACAATTGCGCCATATTTGTAATGAAATGAGAATATAAACAGAATAAAACAAGTTTCGTTAAACATTGAAATGAGCTTGAATTCTTCATAACCTCTGAATAGTAGGTGACCCAACGGGTCACGGTAGTCTAGTAAACAATAAAATGTCATTCACTCACAACGTTGACTTCTGTCTTGTAAATTTAAACTTACCGTGTTATCTTCCTAATCAATACAGTGCTTAGTTTTTTTATTATTAGCATTTCATATGGAAATAATAGAGTAGGAAAAATAGTGAGTAACCTGATTTAAGATGATGTTCTGAAAAATCATGTGGTCACCTATGTTAATGAAACGGGTGACATTCTATTAGATTTAACTCAATATACCGTAATAATTATACTAATTCATAAAAATAATAATAACCCAGTTGTCTGAGATTTGCATTAATTCAATTAGAAACGTAAGTGCTTTAAGCCAAGTCTCGTGTTTACGTTTACGCAGAATTAATATTTAAAATGACAATGCGTTATACAAGAACTACTACAATGGGCAATAAGTTTCGTATATTCTGCAATGATAATCAGATAAGACTGACTTTTTTAATAATAATAAACTTTACTTTACAGTATCCACTGCACAAATTTTTTTTATCAATTCTGTACATAATTTAAAAAATCTTACATTACTGGAATCATTATTCAAACGCTGTATCAGCGATTTTGACAGGAGCTTTGTACATGACACGATGCGTCTTCTTTGTTACGTACAGGTAGAATAAATAATTGGATTTGCCTAAATACTTCCAAGGATTTCTAGCGAAACCTTACAGCAGATACTAAAGTTGTGCTTCACCCTACATATTGAGGTAAAAGTACTGATGTTTAAGAACTAGAAAATTATTAAACACTTATATTGGATAAAGTAAATTAGGGGGCAGCAATTTATTTTGATATATTATTTTACAGTTAGCTAAATTACAACTTGAAAACTTGATAGAAGTAAAAATTATTATATTTTTAAAAGACACGGTATCTATACGTTAATCTGTGAATATGTAATTATTGGAGACACGTGCAGGACTGTACGCAGAATGCTTGAAGGGAGGGGGTTCTAGCTTGTGAGATCAAAAGCCAGCATATATGGTGCTAAGCACAATCTGTATGCAAAGCATGCTAATGCTACAGGGGTCTGGGAGCTTGCGACTAATTTAAGCCTAAAAATGTTAATGCCTCATCAGAAGAAAGTATTCTCTGTAGAAAACGTTATATATTAGTACTATAGCTATATAAGCATTTTTTTTTTGCATCACAAAAATAGGGGGGTTCGCCGAACCCGCCCTCCTGTGTACCGTGCATGACATTGCCCCCCCCCCGCCACCACCCCCTGTTCCGACGACTAAGGTGAATATGGAGCTAGACACTTCCTAGCACTATGAATTAAGGATATCATGTCCAACTTTACAGCGAGTAAGTCTATCTCGAGCTCTATTGGCGGCTCAATGTGGACATGCTTGCTATTACGGTGGACACGAAAATCTCGAGAACTCAAATTTTTAAATACCTGAGTCATGATGTAGCTGTACACAGGTGTGAAATGCCAGAATGCGGTTGAGAAGCAGTTCCGTGTTCTCAGTTTGGTGTTTTGTGACCTTATTTTAAAACAGGGGTTAAATTGGAGTTGAACGGTCCGGAACGGCGTTCTGACTCTTGAAGATTCAAACCTTTAGAATTCCTGGTCTACTGATTGGAATGTTAAAGTGGATCACAAAAGGGAGTTCTACCTTTTTCAAAACCCCAATTTAACGTATTAAGAAAACACACAAATTTCATCATCACTAACAGCTTTGTATAATAATAATTCAGCTGTTTAAAAAATAAGATAAAATTGCGTTGATCCCTAATTTCTTCTTCTGGTATATACGTGTATATGTGTGTATTGGTCTGTGCTATATCTAAACACGTATTTAAAGTTGTAAGGAATTACCATAAAAATATCAACACCT